AGAGAGTGTAGAGAGCAAAAGACACAATAATGCAAAGAAAGTCCCACTTCTCATGGGAATATTCCCTGTAAGGGCCAAGAGGTTAGCAGGTACTATGCATCCCCACTGGGCATGAGAAACAAGAGTTTGTTCTTAAATTGACTTCAGAGTAGAGATGCCAAAGCAAATAAATCACTGTAAGTGAAATACTTTGAAAGGTAAATGGGCTTTAAAGATATCTGTACAGGTTAAATTTCATAATCAGAATATTCATTACTGTCAGATGTGATAAGGGCACATGTGCATCAGGACAGCTGGACATCCCCTCCCCGCAGAGACTCGCTGCCGTCCGTCAACCTAGCACAGCTAACGTGTGGCGGACACCCCCAGCAAATGTTACTGAATGAAGAAACATAAACTAGAGTTCAAACATGTGATGTCTGGCCTAACCAAAAATTGTATTCATTTGAACAAGAAGTAGAAGTCCCCAAAGTTCTTAGATTCCTTCAACCCATACATAATTGCCATTGATAATAATTCTGGAATGATAAGCAAACTTGAATACCTATTTGATCCACTCACTTAAGCCATTAAAAGAATGAAATACAGAATGACCTGCTATTTCCTAGGAATCCGTGTCCCCACCAAGCTCAAAGACCCTGGCTCACTTTGTATATCACTGAGGCAAGACTTACCAATTTCAAGCCACTTATAAAAAATTTGAGAGAAGAATGGCAATTTGAGAGGTTACATATTCTCCATAGCGGCTCCATTTTATTTATCCCTTTACAGGAATCTTTTGTATCTGCAATAAAAAGACTTCATCTCTCTGATGGAGGGTGAGGGATAGGTAATATTTAGGAATAGGTAAGAAAAAACCTCTTTGTTTTCCTAAAATTCCACTGGACATAAATCTCTTCTCACAAATCACCAAGGGCCAGTCTATAATCAGAAGTTCACTGATTATTCACCAAGTCATCCAGACATTAGCCATGAAAAAGAAGTCACCTAAACGGATTTACCATATACCCAGATTCTGTTATGGGAATGACAATTCTCAAGTCCCAAGGTAATGGGGTAGTAACGTTACCAAATGAAGTAAGGACCCTCTGGTGAGAGGCAACAGAATAAAGAGGAATAGAAGAGTGAAGCATTTAAACTGCAGCTGAGTGGGTGCATCTGTCCTAAATTCCGGAATCCATCCACTGGGCCTCAGCCCCAGAGAGTGACCTGTGCAATGCAGGTGCAGCCGGTCTCCTGAGCAGGGCAGACACTGCGGATTCCCTGGAGGGTACACTAGACCAGATTTACCCCAAACCTTGGGGAAATGACCCTGAGGAGGATCCCATTCTCCAAGATAACTGAGAAAGCAGAACTCAGCCAGCTCTGGACTAATCCAATACCACTAAGACTGCTAAACAGTAACTTGGCTGAAACAAGAGAAAAGAGAGATGGCCCAACTGAGAGTCCCTTCAATGGGACTGGGACCTGGTGCGAGCCCAAACCACTGCTGTGCAGCACTATCAGCACCCAAGCGGAGGGCCTTAGGTCAGTCTCTTGCTTCAACCCACTTTGGACTGAACAGCCCCCAGGCTGCCCCTCCACCACCCTTCCCCCATTTTCCCAGTAGAAACCATCTCTGCCATCCTCTGCCTCCGGAACCAGCCAACACTGTTTGGGGGTTGGGGGCAGAGGACTTAGCTGCTTACTGAGCGCCATGCATGAACTCCCAGAATTTCAGAATGTTTCCAGCAGGTGGAGGAAGCGGCTGTTCCCTCCCTTGCAACTGAGGGTCTCCTGACCCACCTCTTGCTGGGCTCCTACTCCCAGCACAACCATGTGGCGTGGAGGGTGCGGGGCGTGGAGTTGCCTGAGAAGAAGCTACTCTAGCGCCTTGGCCACCCCTCCAGCACCTGCAGGCAGTCCAGATGAGCGGGAAGTCCAGGACACCATGAAGCCAACTGTCTTGGAGAGGTGACGCCAGAGGCCCCTTGGGAGCAGCAGGCCCCGAGTGTTCCCCATGGGTCCCCATCCCTGGGCTTTCCTAGAAAGCCACGTCGAGGGTGAGCAGGAGAAGCTCCTCAAGAGGGGCAACCCCCCTGACCCACTGCACAGCCCGGGGAAGGGGAGGGCGGTAGCTGTAGGCTGGGCCCCATGCCGGGATCGGCGGGTCTCTGGTGGAGAGGCTCCCCTTCAAGCACAACTACAGCTGCCTGAGCACAGTGGCCTTTGAGGGGCGCAGGTGGCCCCTGGTCTCCAGGGCTTCTGGTGAGTCTCTCCTGAGAGGCACTAGGGAGAGTTTCTATCACCCTGGAGCCCTCCTCCAAGCTGTTGACCAACTGGAAACAATAAAGCTGTTTGCAGGCAAACAAACAAACAAAAATCCCCAAAACCAGAAACAGGTGGGGGGAGGGGTGCGTGGAGGAAGAAAGGCCAACAATGGAATGCAAGCATGTGCCACTTCACAGTGTTGCATCTTCCCAGACCTAGTATGTGCTACACACAGTGAAGGTGCGCAGCAGGCCAGGCCAGCAAGACTTGGGTAATAACACACGCGATGTCACACACAACAACGCCTACCTGTACCCTTCTCAGAACGAGCCCCGACATTAAGCACTCCTGTCTATGGAGCCACTTCTGCTTTGAAGAGGGTCACTATCTCTGATTGCTTCATGAACTGCTATAAAAAGCCAAGGCATCCATGCTTACCATGAATTGGCACTGCTCTGAGTATTAAACCATTTAACAAGTGGCTAATTTTGAGGACAGCCCTCTGAGGTAGGAATTATCATCATTCTGATTTCATCAATGAAGAATGAAAGGCGAAAGAAATAACTTGCCCAGAGTCATAATAACTTGCCCAGCAAACAAATAATAGCTAAGCTGGTGCAGTATTCATGCATCCACACTCCACCAGCTTGCCTCTCTCTCTGGCCCTTCCCCTAAAGCTCTCAGGAGCCCCTCCCTGAGCAGCCACAGACCTGGCAGGAGGACACCCAGTCTGTGGGGCTGCCCCCTAGGAGGACGGTGTGTCCTCACCTGCTCCTCAGAGAGCTTGGGGGTGTCTCAGGAATCTCCACTAAGAGCTCTGTTGTACATCTATTCTCTTTGGAAAGACAACTTAAGGTTACAAATATCATCAGGGCTACCCACTATGAGCAAACTTCAAACAGACCCTCCCAGGATTATACCCTGGAAAGAAGGGAGGCCTGCCTGCCTAGAATGTTCTTTGTACCACACCCAGGGGAGCTTCCAGGGCCATGGGGAGCATGTGGTGTTCCTGATAGGAGCCCAGGAATTTCAGAGTGGCTCAGTTCAGAAAATATCAGTTTCATGATTTGTGTTCATGCCTTAAATATTAAGGCAATTTTTCTCTCAACTTTGTTTTTTGTTTGTTTGTTTATTTGTTTTTTGTTCTGGGCTTTAAAGTTGAAATGAAGGCTAGATAGAAAACACATTTGCAAATGATAGTCAAAAACCACTGAATTGAAGAATTTCATTCTGTTTTTCTTTCAAGTTTCCCAGTCTTAAGGGGCAGAAATAGTATTTCCCTCTAAGAATCTTGACAGTCAGTGAAATAACTTGGTATATCTTAGTGACACGCTATTTTTAAAAGCACTTGATTTAGAAAACTCCAATCATGATAATTTCATGGGAATTCTTAGTACACATTAAAACTTTGAAATTGCTCTGCAAGAATTTGCGAGTTCAAATAGTCTTAATTAGAAAATACCTGCACTGATGCATATTTATCAGGTGTTTTTAACATCTGTCCCTGATACAAAATTATTTTGAGGGTTGTTTTATGAGTTATAATTCCTATGGTCAGTAATAGCAGTGATGATGAAATATGACACAGAAGGCAGAAGTGTCTATTCTAGTCTCCACTGACTCCACACTTTCTAAATCTCTGGACCTTGAGGATGTAATTTAATTTCTCTGTTTCTTCACATCCGAAGAAAAATCACAAGTCCTACCTCATAGTGCTGTTTCATGGATCCAATGAAATAAGGCACCATGATTTCATAAGTTGGAGGCACTATAACGTAACATAACATTAAGATTATAAAGGAAATTGGGGCAGCCTTCTGGCTGAATGAATAAAAAGCTGCAGTCTGATGAAAAAAAGACACCAACTTGGCCAATTTGCCAACCTCCTCAACTCATGACCCTGGATGAGTCTGGTCTCTGTTCTCTCATTTGAGAAATAGGAATGATAATAACTAACCCATAAGGATGATGAGGGATTAGCAGTAATATGCATAAGGCCTCTAGCAGGACAGGCACACAGTAGGTGCTCTATAAATGGTGACTGCTTCTCATTAAAGAATCCATTAAATGAAGCCAAGTATATTGTGTGTTTCAACACTCACTCTCCACAGCTGAGCAATGTTCCACTTAGGACATGCATTAGGAGAATTCTCAAATATACTTCCGCGGGGCCAACGCCCTGGGCCTAGCCCACTTTAGAAGCCAGTGGATTAAGGCTGTGCGTGCTGTGTTCCCTGGAGCACTACTTCATAAAACTCTAATGGAACCTCAGACCTAAAAAATAAAATTACTACTATCCAAGGTGTCAGCTCCAAGTACAGACTTTTTCCTAACCTTGCTTTCACTACATAAACTGACTTCACTTTTTGCTACTTACTTAGGACAGGGGTAGGGCCCCAGGACTAGGGTAAGGAAAAAGCCAAAGGGGGTCTGCTGTTGTTATTGAGGTTGTTGAGTGTGACCCACATGAGCCTCCTGAGAGTGGCTGCCCAGCTCCTGCAGGTGCGGGTCAGGCCCTTGGGAGGCCCTTGGGAGGCGTCCACCCAGCAGGAGAGGGGCACATCCTCCCACGCACGCCCAGCCTCGCCCCCTCCAGCCAAGTGTGGCAGGCACCGGTCGGTCACCCAGAAGAGCGAGTTAGGCGTGGAGCTTGGGAAAGGCACATGCAGTTGGGTTAGTCTTAACTCGACCATGCGGCTTTGCATTCCTGTTTGGCAAACGCGCTTAGGCAAAACAGGCTTGATGCTTACAATGATCCCAGCCCAAAATGGAGTGTCTCTGACTAGCAGGGAGGAGCTGATGCTCGCCATGAGAAAGCCCACCACGGTCACGGCGATGCCCAGGGCCAGCTGCAGCAGGGCGAGCAGCAGGGGGAACCGGCAGCCGCAGCACTTCTGGGCCTCCTCCTCCCCGCACTCCTTGGGGGCACCTTTGCCCTTCTTCGGCCCCATGTCGTCGGGCCCGGCGGCGTCCGCGGCAAGCCCCCCCTGTCTCCGCTGGCCGCGGCGCGGCTTGTCCTTGCCCATGGCCGCTGCGGGGCGGTGGGTGCGTGCGCTGCAAGCAAGCTGGGCCCGGAGCGCCGGGCTGGGCGGGCTGAGCCTGCCCTGGTATTCGAATTACGGAGGCTGAACAAATATGGAAAACATTTGGAGCGACTCGCTGAGCCTCCAAAGGCCACAGGGAGCCTGCTGCTTAGGGGGAGTCGAGGGGGGTCGCTAACTGCCAACACGCCAGGACTCAGCGCCTGCAGGCCCACAGGCAACAGGCAACGCTTCCCGGCTGCCCGCGGAGCCAGCGTGGGTCCCTCAGCCCCCGAAATCCTTTGCACTTTGAGACTGAGGGAGAGGAGAAGTGAGGGAGTGCCTGTGTGTTCTGTTTGCCTCACTCGGAAACCCAGGATTCTTTTGGTTTTGTTTTTGTTTTCTGAGAGGTGCAATGCAAGGTGATGAATGTTTAAATCATTTGAGTTTAATTAATAGGCAATTTAATCCAAAATAGTCATTGCTGGGCCCCAAGCTGTGAAGTCGTTTCCAGAAATTAAATTGTTCTTATTTTCCAAGCAAGGCTTAGGCTCTTCTCTTTAAGTTCTGCAACCCAGCTGACAAATAAGCATTTTCCCCATTGAGGTATTTGCTTTTGAAATAACTGTTTATAGAGATGCTGGGCTAATTGTGAACTCTCTTTGCATGGTGTATGTGTTATTAAAAGAGCTTTTAATCTTTCATGTGGGGGTCCCCAGCCAGCCTCCACTAATCTCCATTACAGTGCCTGGTACAATTACTATACACTTTGGGTACGAATAGTTCAACTCATGAGTCCACGTGTGAGATAGTTTAAAAGTACCTACTGTGTGCAGATCATAAGGATGTTCAGGAATAGATTAGTCCTTGCCTAAAATCACAGAACAAATCAATAAAACCGATTATTCTTATTCCCAAATACATCCAACTCGGTAGCACTTACAGCAAATTTCAGTGAAACCACTAAGAAATGATCCTATCACTTTGGGAGTATTTATATCTACTTTGATGATGTGGTCATTTTCACATTCAGAACATTGTATTAAAAAATAAATGATTTAGCCCCAAATGCTAGGATAGGCAGAGCCTACTCATTTAAAGCAAGTCTAACACCCTGCCTGGCTTCCTCAGAATTACACAGCAGATATCAGTCACTCCCCTTGGAAACTGCCAAGTCCCTGCAAAGATACTTGAAGTTATGAAATACATTCTTTATTAATTAGTTAATTAATATATTCTTAATTTGATGAACTTTTTTATTTTCCTTCTACTTCCCTTCTGGACAAATGCAGCAGCTTCAAATGTAGAATCTAAACCGCACATCCCAGGTGGCAGCTGGAAGCAGAAGCAGCAGCTTCCTCTCCCACAAGAAAATCAGAGTGGCTGGCGTCAGGTCAGGTCCGCTGTGAGGCCGCTCCATTAGGATTCCAGTGAGACAGATGGATAGAAGGTGTGTGTCACCACAGCACCCAGCCCACTGGGCCTGACTGAAAACAACCCAAATGACAACCAGAATAATTTTTGCTATTTCCAACTTATGTGTCCAACAAGAAATATATGAAAAAGAAGGGATGTGTGTGTGTGTGTGTAACAATGTTTAAAAAAATGAACTCCTGCCATTTGCAACATGATGGACCAAAGGGGATGATGCTCAGTGAAATAACCCCGGAGGAGAAAGACAAACACCGGATGATTTCACTCACATGTGCGACAGAAAGAAACAAAGCAAAGGAACAGACAAACCCAAACAAACTCAAGAAATCTGACTGCAGAACTGAGGCTCCCAGAAGAGGGTGGGGGTTGAAAATAATATGGGGAGGGAGCCCCAGGGACTGTGGGGAGGGTTATGGGTGCCTTGTGGGTGTGGTGTCATAACACACATCTGAAGGATGCAACCCTATACCTAAGAATCATATATGGAGTTGTAAACCAAAGTTACCTCAATAAACATAAGAAGGAAAAGAAAATGAGAAAAAGGAAGGGAAGGGAAGAAAAGGAATTTGGTTTTTCATGAAAACATAATAAGCATTTCATTTTTAGGAAACTAACTACACATAATTATTTGTTGTTGCCAATAATGTAACTACCAATTACTGGGTATTTCTTCTGTAAAAGCACATGCTAGGAGGTGCTTTACATACTTCACTGTTACATCTTATAACCACATAAGAATTAGTTTCTACTTGAAAAAATCTGAATAAAAACAATGAATTTCAGAGTTATTGTTAAGTAACCAGACTATGAAACCATTTGCCTAGTTAGGGATGTGTGGGGGGGGAACCCAAGTATGACCTCTTACGGATTATCTTTTTATTAATTACTTTCTACAGGCAAACAAGTGGGTGAACTGCTTAAATCAGGATTTTAAACAATGTGGTGATCATGGGTGGAATTTTTTTGAGGTAGCATTGGTTTATAACCCTGTATGATTTAGGGGTACAGAATCACACCTCTCACATATATGCTACCACACCTACCACCAAGTCACGCACAGCCCTTCACCAGTCTCATGGATAGTATTTAATTATCGCAGTCTTAGCTATTAGCCTCAAACCTAAGACTACCTGTGTACTTTACAAAACTACCTCAAATCACTACCATAATATATGAGTCCATGGGACCATTATTTTATTACTGACTTATAACAAGATACAAAGTCTGCCTGCTGACCATACCACTGGGCGTCATTTAGTATGGAAGAGAATATCCCTACCCTTTTCTTCAAAGCTTTCCCCTAGATGTAAAATAGAATATATAGTTAAAGAAAACAATGCAATATTCCTGTAAGTTTGTCATCTTAAGTTTCCCAGCTGTTGATGCTCATGGTTTGTCAAACAATCGTTAAATAAATGCTTGGAATACAGGCTGACTTTTAATTGTCTAACTGAGATAAGTTACACATGAAACTAGGCGCAGTGAACTGCAGCCCAAATCCATTGTAACCTGATTACAATGCCAACTTCAGTCTTCCGGGGCGGTGCACCTCCTAGTTCCCAGGTGCATGGCTGCATGTGGTTTGAGGGAGCCTGGTCTTTGGCAATACCACAAGATGAGAATATGGGGAAGGTATTTATTTTCACTTAATAAGGGGAAGTAGCAAGATAGAAGGTGTGAGAAAAGCATCATGACGTTAGTGATTAAAATGGGATGGAGAGTTAGTGAAGATTCAACCAGGAAAAGTCTACTATATTAGCATGTCCTCCCACTGACAAAAATCAGCATTTCTAGTTTGTCACATTGCTTAACGGAAAGGAACAGATTTTTTTTTTTTATTACTCATAAATTATAATGTCTCGGTTTTATAGGTTAAGCAATGGCCTCTTCAGATATTTATATTACCGGGAAGAAAGGCAAAGTAGAAGTGAAGTGTTTTCAGATACTCAGCTGCATTTCTATAACTCACGACTGACAGAGATTATAAATTAGAAACTATATAAGAGTAGTCAATAAAAGGCTTAAGATTATTTTGACCCTCTCAAGAAAATAACAGAATTAAGCTTAGTCTTGCTACTTTTGCTGTATCTTAACATCAACATTATTTTGAAGTTATTTGTTTTTCAGAAGTACAGAACTGGGAAAACAACTCCTTTTAAACCTAGTGTCATTAACAAAATGTCCTGGGGAAATTCAACTAGAAATAATCTCTATACCAGCGTATTTCTGAACACATGAGCTTAGATTCACCCAGAACAAAAAAGATTTCATAGAAAACTATAGTTCCAAGCTCTATATCAAGTTGCTTTACTATGTAATTAAATATATCAAAAATGTTTAATGAGATTTGATTTAAGGAAGTATCAAATGGCCTCAGCAGACAGAGACCTTGCTTATTACAAGCAGCACTCTTGGCCCTTAGGTCTCACTGGCTTCCACACATAAACTGGATCTAGAGGTGTTGCTGATCTGTGGTGTGTGCCCCATGAGTGTGCAGAGACATGTGCACCACAAATAAAGCCCCTAGCCCTTATGTCAAAACCTTAAACTCGATGTCAAGATCTGATGACCGTAGTACCAGTTATTCTTCTTAATAATGCAGTTTTAGCTGTGTAGCCATTCTACTTCTACAGCCTATCCCATGGCATATTTTACTGCTTAACTTCCTAAGTCTAAGTTTTAATGAAACTACATCATTTCCTGAAAAATGTCTCTAAAAAATCAAAAGCATAACTTGCATAAATTACCATGATAATAGTAAGTCTAGAAGAGATACAGATGTTCAGTCCTTCCACAGTACTCTTAGATTTGATCTCTAAATCTAACCAACATCTTCTGAAGTTGGAATTTCCTCACAGTGGCTGTGACTTGTTCAAGGCTACATTTTTTTCCTTCTTTTTCTAAATCAGTGAGCTTTCTATTTATATTTTGACTGTATGACTTGGATTTATTTTTTTCCTTTTCTGATATATTTTAAAAATTGCACAAATTTAATAATATGCATCATAATGAGCTAGATGAAGAGGAGGGGCATGCAATTCATACATGAAACCCATGCATCTCACTGTATAGCGTGCACTGGTAAGTGGCAAGTGCAGGAAGCCACACATGTTGAAGGCATATGGTCCTAGATGCCTGACTATCCCTGCCAGATCCCAGGGTAGTGAAAACAATGCTATGGGGCACCTGCCCCACAAGCACCATGCTTTCCTAATCACCTCTGGACCCAGTACCCAGCACTGTGCAAAGGACAGCGTATGACTCCCCTAAACCTTTACACATCCTAAAGAGTCATTTAATTTACACACAGGATTCATCTAGATTCAGATATATTTGATGTAAACAATATTTCCTCATAATCCCTGAATTGCAGATCTCGTCCACTTTTATTTTTGTTTAAGTGTTGTCATTAGGAATGACTCAACTGAGTCATTTTGGATAAATTATAATCAAGTTTTCTAATACCACCAAAAACAGTACCACGTCATTTAAAATAATCCCATGTTTTAGAAGCAAACTGTATGATTTTCACTTTGACTGCTCTTCCCCCTTAGTTGGAACAACTGAGTCACTGTCTGA